ATGGTTGATAATGCAATTTTTTTATTTATTCTCGAAACAACTTTATCTATTTTCATTCGATTATGATCGTTTAAACAACTAAGTATGTACGTGGAAATACAAAGTATATATTTAAGATCCTTGTATTTGATTAATCACGGATAAAGGCTAATCTGAAAATGAAAAACGAGTATATATTGTCATATCAAGTCAAACGAAGATAATTTTGAAGTTTGATCGGTAATATTTAGGCTCCTAATTGAGAATTGTTGTTTTATTATTAGCTTCGTAAAAAATAAATTTGAAAATGCTGTTCATCTGTATTAATCTATATACGTAATCTGCTAAATGCAGCATGAGTAATATTGAGATAACAAAATTTTTAGTATATGAATAACAAAAGTATTTTTTTAGATTTTTTGAAGTGAAACTTCTTTACGCGCGATGGGAGTAAAAATTCAAGACCGCGACACACGAGCTAGCGTCAGGAAAAGTGGTAACGTTGACTTTTTGATCTTGGAGCGATCTTGCGGCTGACACTCGGAATGTAAATGGGGCTCAAACAATTCCATCTTTTCATGATATTTTGACGACGTTTCGTGCATTACGAAACCCCATCATCAATGAATCAAATAAAACATCGTCCAATTTAAATGACATTTGTTATGTCGATATATTGGACCAAGACTAACTTTACCGTGTACGACACCTGTCACTGTTTTGACGTAAGGGACGTCAAAAATTGATGTCGTCCGATCGCCACCAAGTTTGGTGGGTAGACGGTGAGCGACGGTGCACACGGCCCCACCCTACAAAGTTGGATACGACGTTTCGTTTACATCTTCATCAGGGTGGGACTAAGGATTTGATATTGAAGAAAAATGTGGGTCGATTTCGGTATAATTGGAGACAGGCTACAGGATGACGCCCTCGACGTTTCGAACCGATCGATGCCTCTAAATGGACTAAATCATCAGGATTTTTCTTAATTATGGGTCGATTGGAACCAAACTCGACACGTGGATCGGACCCGAATAGAGTTCTCAGACGGGCAGACAGACGGAAGTAAGAAGAAGTTTTACTTCAAATATGCGCACATAGTGCACACACAATTTTTTTCGTAAATGTTCTGGTTTACTGTGTAACACCAAAGTTTACAGAAGTAAAAATTTATAATACCATTGTTTAAATTTATAAACAAGGGAAATAATTTGTGATCCTCCGAAAAATAACTATAATAAATACAATGACTGGCACGAGAAACAGATACATGAAAATTTTCAATTATTTGCCAATGCACCATCCGGTATAAAACTTTAAAATATATCAAAATTTTAAGGTGCCCGTTTTTCGTGCCGGTGAATGTATACATAATATGTATATTAATATACAGTATGTCTATTTTAAAACTTTCCACCCTTAATTGATTGATTCTTACAGGTAAAAATATGAAAAATCGGAAAGACACGTCAATTTTATTAGTAAGGGGGACACTTTAAATGAATATTTTTGGCCTTTTTCTTTCAACCCCTTAGGAGTTACCCTTACAATGTTAAATGGGAATGGGGGTTAAGTGGCACATCGTTTTAAAGGGCATTTACTTCTCTTTTCCGTGATATCCTACTTTGTTGCATTTTGTCCAGAGATTTCCGAATAATCGCGATTCAAAGTTGCAGAAACAATGAGGAAGATGCATATATTTTATTTTTCGCCAGAAACTGTTCAATTTATTAGAATACATATGTGTAAATGCAAAAAAAAACTTTTTTCTTGAAATCAGTACCACAATTTTATAAAACGGACCATTAAAATACTATGGATAACGCAAACGACGCCGCGCGAATTGAAACGATATTGTATTGGTCTGACGTCACCCGCCGTTCTCGTCGACGCGCGATGGCCAGCAGCAGCCAGACGTGTTCCGTTTATGTACGTATTTAGGTGGCGTACTAAGACATTTTTGTTGCTTTTAGCGTTGATTGAAGGAGCTTTTTATGCTTTTTTGTGCAGTTATTATTTGTATGTGTTGTGTGTTCTGAGAATTTTTTAAGTAATGGCAGATTCCGGGTTTGTAAAAGCACAATCAGATAACTTCCCAAAAGTCGATGCTTTTATGTTGGCTGTTTTTATAAATACAAATTCCTAATTTATTGGTGCTGAATTACGAAGAAAAAACAGAGAGGTATGTAACATTTATTCTTTGTAGTACTGAGGCATATTTAAGTATAAGTAGGTACCTACTGTTACGAACTTTTATATAGTTATAAATATTAATGTTATAAACTTATTTTTCAGATCAGGTAGGGAGACGTATGGAGATAATGCTGTAGGTTATGTAGAAGTGAAAAGAGACAAAAATATTTGTTTAGTACGTGGAAAAATAACTCCAGAGCATCGCGTGAAAAAGAAAGTTTTTTTTATATATTGACACCCCCTTACCCTTGTTATTTTTAAAGATTGTTTTTTTACGAAATTATAGGAAATAAATTGTTTATCAGTAATGAAAATATTATACAAGATGTCCCATAAGCAAACGCCAAAATTAAGTTACTTTTTTAAGTGAAACACCCTATATATTTTTGGATTCTTCGGAAATTTCTAGATATTCTAGATATATTTCATGTATAATATCCTATACCTATCTTCAAATGTTTACGAAATATTGACAGTTGAAAAGCGAAAAATACCTACAATTTTCTGGACCACCTTTTTTGAGACACTCTGTATAACTAGAATTAATTTTAAAAGAGAGTATATGAAAAACCATGCAAATTTTTTATTTAATGTTTTCTTCTAAAACTTGCAGATAAGGCTGTATGTGGGTGTCAAAATATAATGAATAACACTGCACATTCAAATTTCATATACCTATGTAAGACAATATACATAAATATATGAACTTATATCAAAATGATCTTCACAACAATAAATCGTAAAAATAGAGGATAATTTAACGTTTTTCTTTTCATCTCTTCTCATGGCCTTGGACCATTTTTTTCTGTTTCCGCTCATCCATTACTATTTATAAATATCACTAATTACTAATTATGTATTAATTAACACAAATAACTAAAATTTTGACTCGGATTCAATAGCGTTTAAAAGCAAACTGTGTAAAATAAACACGCGTCTGGCTCCACTCAACCAGAAGAACGGCGGGTGACGTCACAGCGGCAAGGCGCGTTAGAGAGCGTTTGCCCGGCCATTTAAATTACCAGTATTTAATTATTTTATATTAGAGTCATTTCTTAACCGATATCAACGATTTTTTTTTGTTCAATTTGTAATTATATGAACTATTTTTTAAAACCATTATTTAAAAACATGCATTTTCCTCATTAAACATGCCTGCATTGAGATTTTGGTTTTCAGGCTAGTGTTTACACAAAAATTATTGCAGTGGATCTTCTTGTAGTACAAATAATTAGAAGATTAGGTGGTAACATGAACGTAGCCATTACATTTTTCTAGGGGTTCGAAATTCGAAATACTAATAAACAGAAAACATCATAAACATTGAATGAGTGGCAACCTCTAATCAGTTTCACAGAAGGATTTTTTAACATTCCAGCAGGACGGTGCTATAGCTCATTATTTTTTTCCGGTCCGACAGTGGTTAAACGAGAGATTTCCGGGTACATTGGCAGAAGGGGACCAATTGAATGGCTTTCACTTATACTTTTGTTTTTTTTTTGGGGGGGGGGATATCTTAAATCCATTGTTTATAAAACACAATCTACTGATACAGCAGAATGCAAGTCAATTACCGGTGAAATTTTCCGAAATGTTAGGGAGGTGTTTTAAAACAGACTTTTTTACTGTTTACAGGAAAATGGACAACATTTTGAACAACTTATAAGATAGGGCAGAAGTGGTGTAACATAATCTTCTAATCATTTGTATTACAAGGAAATCCATTGCAATAACTTTTGTGTAAACACTAACCTGAAAACCAAAATCTCAATGCAGGCACGTTTAATTGTCTGCAACTTTGAAACGCGATTATTCGGAAACCTTATTAAACGCCCTTTAAAACGATGTGCCACTTGACCCCCATTTCCATTTAAGATTGTAACTGTAACATCTACCCCTCCTAGGGGGTTGAAAGAAAAAGGCTAAAAATATTCATTTGAAGTGTCCCCCTTACAAATAAAATTGTCGTGTCTCTCCAATTATTCATATTTTTAACTGCCAGAAAGATACTAAGGGTGGAAAGTTTTAAAATTGACACACTGTATAGTAATTGCAATTGCAATTATGCAATTTTTTGCAATTATGCAATTTTTTGCAATTATGCAATTTTTTGCAATTATGCAATTGCAAAAAATAAAAATTGTTCATACAATTCATTATTCCGGCTATATCTAAATAAATATCGTCTATATTAAATTTTATTGTGAATATTCACATTTATAATACCACCTATAAAGTTATCTTATATGATTTTTTTATAAATGTCATATATTTTAATTATCTCTTCATACCGTATCTACTGAAAAAATTGTATTTTACTACGTAAACATTTTTAAAAATTGCATGTAAACATATACGATGTAGATTTTTTATTCAAAACTCAACGAAGAAGATGGAACTAAAGAATTCTACCTCATAAGTCTGAATAATAAAATATTATTCCAATTTTTGTTTTGTAGCAAGAAAAATCATGAGAAAGAAAATAATGTCAAATATGCTCTTAGTCAGTCTAATATATCTTCCTAATATAAGTATTTTTGTTCATAAGGTGTCTAATATTAATTAATACTAATTATTCATTAGTAACACATCTAGACATTTAATTTTCAATTCTTGGTAACAATAGGTAACTTTTTTTATTCTACTTCTAGATAGTAAGTGCACAACTTCTAAATGATGTTCATGCTATACCTAACATAACAATTTTTGTTCTACTTGATAGAATTGACATGAATATTTTCATAATTTGATATTTTAATTTATCCTTTTCAACACAAAATATAAAATTATTAAAACAGTTTCAATAATTCAATTAATTCAAATTCAATTTTAAGTTAAATTTAAATTTAATATTTACACTTTATATTATTATGTATAGATACATATATTTAAATTCGTATACTGAACAGAAACTATAGGAATTGTTAACTCAAAAATATTATCATATACATAACAATTCATGAATTAAAATGTAGATGTTTGACATATACACGTCTAGAATATTATTTACATTTTTACAGATTGATTTAATTTCATGCCTAGAAAATCAAGGGTTACATCTACAAACGCAACATGAAGGAAACAGGAACCAGTCCATGAAAATGCCCCTACAATCATTATCTGGATCGTAAGCCAACAAGCGGTGCCACTTGTATTTTTGCTCGCAGCCGCAATCACCTGAACATCTTTTGGTTGAAGATTTCCTGAAAAAAAAGTAAAATCCAGTGCAGTTAACATATTAATGTAGAATGTAAAGGCGGGTACACACAAAAGGAAACATTGACAAACAGTAAACGTTAAACAACAGCAGTTTGCAAAAGCTTTGGGTTTAAATTCGAAATAGATGTTCGAGGTAAAAAATCTCTAAAAATACCTCTAAAAATACAGGGTGGTGCACCTCATTCGCCAAGGTTGATTATACGAAAACGGAAATATAGAAACAAATTTTTTTTTGGCTATTGGGGGGGAGGCGACAATATTACATTAAATTGTGCACACAATTTAAAATTATTTTTAAATATACAGGGTGTTTCAGAACTAAGATCGATACTAAAATTATATTTATTCTTATGGAACACCCAGCATTTTATTTAATTTTTGGATACTTGGGCCTAAAAAAGGTATTTATTATAAGAGTTAAATATGTTTATAAGCTTTGGTTTTTGAGATACCTAAGGCTATTTAAATATGCATGCTACAATAGAATAGACTATGAACATCGTGTACGTTACATTTTAGAATTAATTCTTCTTCTGAATTTAAAGGTAGATAAATGAACTTTACTGAAAAATTTTATTGCTTCCTTAAATTTATAGAGGGGTATCAAAAATTGCTGATCTATTTTAAATATTTATTTTACATAAAACTTCGTTTTTTCAAATGCTACACCTCTATTTTTTTTAAATAAATCGGAGCAGATTCAAATGCTCTTTCAAACTATATTAGGATTTCCTACACCTATCTAGCTCAGATTTTGAATAAAAAGCGATTTTTCAATAAAATGGCAATCAAGCTGGCTGATGTCGCCATGGCAAGTTTCTAGTGACAGTTAGTAACTATTTTCAAAATCGACATTAGTTTATGGCATGTTTATGGACTTTATTATTTAGATTTATAGCAGCTAACTTAAATTTACCCACAACAGTTTAATAAAATAAATATTCATTATTTTATCAAGAAAAATGAAGCAGTATCTGCTGACAGAACATATGGATGTGTTTCTAGTGATTTTATTTTATGAGGAAAATTGCCTCTTAGCCTCAAGGGTTTATGCTCACAGATATCCAAATAGAAATCTTCCTACAAGCGTTCATTGGAGAAACTAATATCCTATTTCGCACAGCAGATAGTGTGGATTATAAGAAACCTATTAGGCAGAAACCTGTCATTGGAAATGAAGAAATTGCCGTAATTGGCTCTTTTATAGAAAATTAATATATCTACAAGTCATCGTAAAATAAATTGTAGCGTTTTTATAAACATTACCACTGCGAACGGCAGCTTCATCGGAGAGAAGTCGTGGATAAGGTATTTCACTGGAAAGAAAACTAATTAATAACAATAAACAAAAAAATGGATATTGGGCGCCAGGCATGTACAGAGAAAGAAAACACAGTTGTATATTACTTAAAACTAATGGCTATATTTATTCATGATGAATTCTGATGGTAAATAGCATTGTACAATTTTAATAATTATTATAGTGGTTATATGTCAAAAAAATGGTGTTAAGAGTTGTACTAAATATCTATGAAAGTAATACCATTACAAGACGTAATGTAATGAAACCTAAGATCTAAATCATATTTTAAATATTAAATCGACATGAATGTTCTTAACAATCTAACCACTAAACATAGTCTGTACGATATTACTTAAGATGTACGTTATTGTTTAAGACTGAAAATGTTTTAGATGTTAAATGTAAAACTAGAACTTAAATCTACACTTAGCTGTTCTTTATGTAACCTTGCTTCAAACAGTAGCAGCGTGAGGTGGGCTCATATCTCTGTACTGTCTGTCGGCGATCCTGTTGGCCAAAACAACAAAAGGATGAGGACACCATAAATCAATACAGTCGTAGCTACTGACTAGGCTTAGAAATGGGAGCGAAGCAGCATGGGGCTTACGCTGTATCCATACTGTGGCAATATGGGGACACTACCCGTACCTTGGAACACTACTAGGACCTTGGATAATGTCCGTAACTTGGACCATAACCTTGGACTATAACCTTGGACACAGTCCGTCCATAAGATAACGGTACAGGGGAACACTACCCGTACCTTGGATACTACTAGGACCTTGGATAATGCCCGTACCTTGTAAATAGTCGCAACCCTAAAAATATGAAACTCTTGTTTAAAACCAAACAAGGTCTAATAAACAAAATAAACCTACCTCGAATTACTTCCGAGGGCTCAATAATAAACAAAGAAACTGTCCTTTCTTCCATGTAACATTCTGGAGGACAAAAGCAAAAGAACACCAATGTGCCAGCAAAATACAAATACGAGTTAAGGTGGGTCAATCCAAAACTCTACCCTAAAAATATTCAATAATAATATCGAATCTATAAAAGATAATATCTCATCTTTACCTGTTGGTTTGAAATAGCAGCTGATTTAAATTATACAGCAAGATTTAAATAATCACCATTTCTAAAAGCCGGGATACAACAGAGCGGCAAAACAAAGTGATGTTAAGCACGGAGATAGTTGACAGAAGCGATGTTGACAGCGCCTCCTCAGAGCGATAACAGTGTTGTGTCAAACGATAACAGGGTTGGCGACTAGGAAACGTAAAAATTACGCCAAGCGTGCCAAATAAATTATCAGGCCTGAACGATACGGAATCCGATGACGATACGCCAGACATCATATATATCATATATAAAAAAGACATGTAACGAACTAAAAACGTTACAAAATCAAAGAACTACTTCTTCGTTTTTCTTGATAAAATAATAAATTTATATTTAATAAATATTATTTATTAAACTATTGCAGGCAAATTAAATAAAAGTAAACTGCTATAAATTTATATAAAGTCCATAAACTAATTTCGATTTTGAAAATAGCTTGGTTGACATTCTATTGAAAAATTGTGTGTTCCATAAGAAAAAATATAACTTTGGTGTGGATCTTAGTTCTAACATATTCTGCACGTTTCAAAATAATTTTAAATTATGCACATTGCCTTCCCACACATACCCATGAAATATTTTGTTTCTACATCTTTCCGTTTTCGTATAATCAACCGAGGTGAATGAGGTGCGCCACCCTGTATAACACCTTTTAAAATAACTACGAAAACAATATGGCGACACTAAACACGAAAAAGGTTAAAACATTAACGATTATCTTACGTATTTCATATGTTTTAATCCGATAGCTATAAACCAATAAATTCATAAACAATATTTGAATGCACGAAAACATTAAATAAAGCGGTTTTAAAATCTATTATGTCATTTTTTTGTTTAACTTTTTTTAATTTTTGAATATCCGTTTGTTGGACGTAGATATTATATAAAAAATTTGAATTCTCTGGAACCGAAAAAACTTTTGAACTATTCAGTTTTCTAATTTGTAAAAAAGAAATAGTAAATATTTTAGACAGGAAACTAAATCCATCACACATTTCACAATATTATTTATCTTTAGAAAAATATCTTTTATATAATTTTAGTTATGTGTAAATATTTACTGAAATCTGATTACAACAAAGTAAATACAAATTAACTAGGAAATCACATTAAATATTGTATATTATGATTTTGAGTAAATCACTGCAATTACTTAAATTAGATACATACTTAATCGCAATAAAATCCACAGATATAGTAATAACTATTTATATAATTTTATTTTATCTGAAAATATGACTAGGCTCTATTATGGGATAAATAGTGTAATCCGAAATTATAAAAAATCATTTAAAATTAGAACTATACTCATTAATAGATATTTATAGAATATGGTAATCATAATATCTTAGATTATGCAGATATAGGGGGTGAGTCTAAAATAAGTGCAAATATTTTGAGGGCTGGTAGATCTCGATAAAAGAAACACATTTTTTTTACTGTTTGTCAAATAAGTCCAAAATAACCGAGTTATTTTACTTTGAAAATTAAAAAAAAATCATTTTTGCTTAAATTTTGAGAACCACGAGGTCCTTTCTGGGTTTTAATTCCTGTAAATTGAATCTACTACCCATGTTGTCATATTATCAAGATATTTAATATTATTAGTTTTTTAACTAAAGATTTAAAAAAAAGTTCCATTTTTTTTCTTCAAAATATTCTAAATTTTACATTTTTTTTCGCGTAAAAAAAACCCATAAAATTCTTTCAGAACCTCGTAATTAGTGGATTAAATTAGTGGTTTCAATTACCACTTTATACTTTTTAGTTTTATGATCATTCACAATATTTAAAAAATACAATTTAAAATCAATAGAGTATTATAACAAAAGCTTTTGCTTAGTCAGTTGTATCCCTACAGAAAGCCTGATTTCTAACCACAATTTTTCTTGACGGAAGATAGTCAAACGCCATTTCTCGCAAATTTTGAAGTATAATTAGAGGACAAGTGAAAAGTTTGATAACTTTTTCTACTAATTGAAAGTGTCTACCACTAATTTTGACGTTGAAATTAAAGAAACAAACTTGAACGCTAGTTGAAACTGTAACGTTTTTAGTTCGTTACATGTATTTTTTATATATGATTTATATGATGTCTGGCGTATCATCACCCGATTCCGTATCGTTCAGGCCTGATAATTTATTTGGCACGCTTGGCGTAATTTTTACGTTCCCTAGTCGTCAACCCTGCTATCGTTTCACTGTTCTGTGGAGGCGCGCGCTGTCAAGATCCTTGTTATATGTCAAGGCGCCTCTCTGCGTTTTTGGCCAGTTTGCGGCACGGTTGCAAATCCTGCTTTTAGAAATGGCAATTTAAATCTTGCTGCAAAATCTGAATCAGCTGCCATTTCGAAGCTACAGGTAAAGATGAGTTATTATCTTTTATAGATTCGATATTATTATTGAATATTTTTAGGGTAGAGTTTTGGATTGACCCACCTTAACTCGTATTTGTATTTTGCTGACACGTTGGTGTACTTTTGCTGTTGTCCTCCAGAATGTTAAATGGAAGAAAGGACAGTTCTTTTGTTTATTATTGAGCCCTCGGAAGTGTTTCGAGGTAGGTTTATTTTGTTTATTAGACCTTGTTTGGCTTTTTAAACAAGAGTTTCGTATTTTTAGCGTCTTATGACGGACTATTTACAAGGTACGGGCAATATCCAAGGTCCTAGTAGTATTCAAGGTACGGGTAGTGTTCCCCTGTACCGTTATCTTATGGACGGACTGTGTCCAAGGTTATGGTCCAAGCTTATGGCCCAGGTTACGGACATTATCCAAGGTCCTAGTAGTGTTCCAAGGTACGGGTAGTGTCCCCATATTGCCACAGTATGGATACAGCGTAAGCCCCATGCTGCTTCGCTCCCATTTCTAAGCCTAATCAGTAGCTACGGCTGTATCAATTCACGGTGTCCTCATTCTGGCCCCCTTTTGTTGTATTGGATGGCCGAGTACAGAGATGCAAGCCCACCTCACGCTGTTACTGTTTGAAGCAAGATTACATAAAGAACAGCTAAGTGTAGATTTAAGTTCTAGTTTTACATTTAACATTTAAAACATTTTCGGTCTTAAACTATAACGTACATCTTAAGTAATATCGTACAGACTATGTTTAGTGGTTAGATTGTTAAGAACATTCATGTCGATTTAATATTTAAAATATGATTTAGATCTTAGGTTTCATTACATTACGTCTTGTAATGGTTTTTATAGATATTTAGTACAACTCTTAACACCACTTTCTTTGACATATAACCACTATATATTCACTAGAACTCTACAATGTCATGTATCAGCAAAGAACATCATGAATAAATATAGTCATTAGTTTTAAGTAATATACAACTGTGTTTTCTTTCTCTGTACATGCCTGGCGCCCAATATCTATATTTTTTGTTTATTGTTATTGATTAGTTTTCTCTCTAGTGAAATACCTTGTCCACGACTGCTCTCCGATGAAAAGCTGCCGCTCGCAGTGGTAATGTTTTATAAAAAACGCTACATATTATTTGGCGCCCAACGTGGGGCGCCAAATAATGTGTAGCGTTTTTTATAAACATATTCACGACTGCTCTACCAACGAAAAGCTGCCGTTCGCAGTGGTAATATTTATAAAAAACGCTACAAAACTACTAATTTAGTCCACTAATTGTGAGGTTCTGAATGAAGCTACAAACTTGTTTCAAGGGTCGAAATATACTACTCCTAAAATATTTGTACTTTTTTAAAATTCATCCTGTATATTAAGATCTGGAAAAAGTACGAAATATGTCTCGTAACGAGAATATAAAGCAATTACAACCAATTAAATAGTATATTTGTCAGTATCCGTGGATAAATTTTAATGACTATAATTTGATAGATTGTTACGGTAAAAATGTGACTCCATGATAATACGGAGAGATATAGAATGATTAAAATTATAGGCAATATATTGTTAGAGAATCTTAGGATTAGTGATTGGTGCCGATGCTACAAATTATCGATCAACATTTTTAGCAAATGATGTCAATTCATTGACGTTATTGGGTGTTGTGTGACGAGTATGTGTTTCAATAGTTACTTTATTTACTTTTTGGTCACTTCTAGCTACTATAAAGACAGAAATCGGTAATCTAATTGAACAAAATAGAAATTTTCCAAAAATTGTATGAGAAGTGATTTTAGGGTTAAAATTTTTTAATAGTATCTACAATATTTTCTCCCTTTTTTCATTCAAATATGTAGTATTATTATGCCGAATTAAGGTTGTTTCTCACTATACCTTCCGTTTCCATTCCATATCCATTCTGTATTTTTTATTATATTTATGTTATACGTAAGCTTCCGTTCCGTATCAGTTCCACACTTTTTATTGTACAATTTATATCATTGCGAAAGTTTTATTTTAAAAATCTTTTGAAAAGGGTAATAAATGTAATTAAGAGGTGAAAGAATATATAAATATCAGCAAAATGTTAACAGAGCTGGTACAAATGTAAGAACTTGACAACGCTGTGTCCGATACGCTTCAGTCCGTCCGCCAAAAAAATGTATGGAAGGAAAGGATATGGAACGGAAGGGAAACGGAACGGATAGTGTGCATTGTCCTATTTATTTACATGATATAATATTTTATGTAAACGGAAGGGAAACGGTAGGTAGCTGATACGGAAGGTATAGTGAAAATCAACCTTAATACTATATGCCTTATTTTTACGATCTCGTCTAGATAAATTATCTGAAGATGAAGATTACCATCTTTAAAGAAGCAAAACACATGCACACGATTTTTGAAGATTAACTTCTTTTACAAAAACATCGGGTGTTGCATCGTCGAGTGGGACATAGGAAATCCCATGTAAATCTAAATGGGGTCAATTATTGACTTCCCTAATTATTTTAGAGAATAATTCTATTTACGTTTATTGAAGAGCACTAAAACCCACATTCAAAAGAATAACTTTAGATATTTTTGATTAGCCTGTTTACGAGTTATCGCCCGATTTCTCTTTAAATATTTCTCCTTTCTTATGGCTCTGTATTTACTTATGAGCACCAGTTAAGGTAAAAGATAACTGTCAAATGAAGTTGTCATTTCAGAAATTTACCTATTTAGTGGTTTATTATTATTGAAAACTCATACCTACATCGAAAACATTAGCCATGAATTACACTACCGAAGAAAAAGTATTGATGATTAAATGGTATTATCAAGGAAATAGTTATCAAAAGGTGTCATGTTGTGGACATGTTTGCTGCTCTGTATCCGAATAGACCGATACCTGGAAAATCTACAATCGCAAGGAATATCCAGAGGTTTGAGACCAAAGGTACCCTAATAAATAACTGCAGATGTGAAGCAAGGCAGGAACAAAGAGAAGATGCAAGAAATGATACCGACTTGGAAGTTTTATTGTGCGTGGAAGAGAACGATGGAAAGATCAGCACAAGGAAACTTGAGGATGAAATAGGAATAGATCACACTACAGCTTTTCGAATTTTGAAACGACATAAATACTTTCCTTCAAATATGGAAAGCACCAAGAGCTACGAGATGGGGACGAAATACGGCGGGAGGCGTTTTGTTTTGATATGATGGAAAGAGCAAACATGGATAGGGAATTTTTAAAAAACATATGTTTCTCTGACGAATGCACGTTTACCTTAAATAATGAACCCAATGTTCAAAATTATCGATATTGGACAAAGAAAACCAACACAGGTTTGTCGAAACAAGGACGCAATATCCACAGAAAGTAAATGTTAGAGCAGGGATATTCGGACACAATATTATCGGGCCATTATTTCTTACGCGAAATTTAAATGCGGAATATTATTTGGAACTACTCGAAAATCATATTTTACCTGCTTTACATGATGCCGCTAGGGAAAATCAGGAAGTTTGATACCAAATGGATGGCTGCTCGGCACATAGTACCCTGGCTGTTCGGGAATATTTAGACAATAGTTTTAACGGAAACGTGATTGGCCAGCAAGGTCTCCTGATATTTCGCCAAATGATTTCTTTCTCTGGGGCCATTTAAAAAACAGGATATACAAGGATAAAAAATACCCAAATCTAGACGAGTTAAAAAAATCTGTTTCTGCCGAATGCAATAGAATTTCAGTTTATCAAGTAGCGAATGTAAGAAGAGAATTTTATGATCGCCTGGGTTATTGTCTAGCAGTCGATGGAGGAATATTTGAACATCTTCTTAAATCCTAAAGTTCTGACAATGTAATAGTACCTAAATTAATAAGTTATTGAATATTGTAATAATACTATAATTAACCTTGTAATTGATTACTTTATTTTACTTTAATTCATATTAATTTGTATTTATAAATACATCTTTAAGAATTCCGATGTAGGAATGAGTTTTCAATAATAATAAAGCACTAAATAGGTAAATTTCTGAAATGACAACTTCATTTGACAGTTATACCGTGACTGGTGCCAGCTGGTGCTCATAAGTAAATACAGGGCCATAAGAAAGGAGAAATATTTAAAAAGAAATCGGCGATAACTCGTAAACGAGCTAATCAAAAATATCTAAAGTTATTCTTTTGAATGTGGGTTTTGGTGCTCTTCAATAAACCTAAATATAATTATTCTCTAAAATAATTAGGGAAGCCAATAATTGACCCCATTAAAATTTACATGGGATTTCCTATGTCCCGTCCGACGATGCAACACCTGTTATATTCGGCATAATGCTAAGCCTATTACATGTAATAGTATTAATAATTTTACTTTCAAGAAGGCCTACCAATATTCTAAATGGAAGTTTTTTTGTATCATACGCCTTTTCAATGATGACGGCATTAGAATTATACGTCAGAGCTGTTTGGCGTTTATCAAGTTGGTGTTTTAATAGACCTGAAGACTGAAGTTATATTTAGTATTACTGTCTTCCTCGATTACTGATTTAATTTTTATTATAATTTTTTTTATTTATAATTTTGTTTTCCAAATACTTACGCGCAAACTTCTTGATGAATGGCCTGCTCGAAATGCTGCGTGTTGACGATTGCACGTATTTTTCCTGCCGAATTTGAGGCCCAATACGGAGTCACAATTTCAAGTTTGCTTTCGCATGCATCTACCCTGAAACATTGAATTCATAAAGTACTAGATTATACAAAAGATAAAAGTCATTAAGTACTTTTACAAACGTGTAAAGCCTTTAAGTACATTTATATTATAATAACGTTATATAAAATCAATTCACGTAAATCTAATATAATTTTTTTTATCATACAAATAGAAGTAATTCCCTTATTTTAGATTACCAGATCTGAATTTTAAATGTGTTAAAGTTAAATTACTTAAGTAAAAAAGTCTATAAACTCGTTGGGGAGCCTCAAAAGTTGCTCACCCCCATAACTTTTTTATTTTTTCAGATAAAGAAACAAAATTTGGTATATTAGTATATGATATAAATTGGGATTGATTGAAGTATTAAATTTTTTGTTTTTTTTTGTTTTTGTGTTGTTATTCAATGTTTTTTGTCACTTGTTTGACCGGAAATGATTACAGCTTTTGATTTTTAAATGGCACCCTCTGTATATTTTTACTTTATTCTGAATAGAATGACATATCATATGTCAACTTTTGACATTTTCGCATATGGTTTATTTGAAATTGTAACATGCGGTACATAACGACAATATGACTCGAAATACCAAGTGTGTAGTACCAAAACAGGGTTGGAAAAAATTATGATTTAAAAAAAAAATAAAAAAAATCAGAGTTTTTTTTAATTTATATCAGATTTTTTTATTTTAATTCAAAACAATATTTAAATCGGATTTCTAAATGATTATGACTTATTTCTAATTAAAGTCCTATCTGAAATTTCTAAATCTTTATAACTCTGAGTGATACCGATAACATTAACAATTTTACGGCGCGTGTCATTTTTCCACATCGGTCACCAATATATTCCGCATAAAAAGTCGCTCGCTTCAGATCAAAACGATTTTTTTTCAAACGTCTCAAGAGTATTAATTTTTATAATTTTAACGCCTATGCATAAAAGTAAAGCACTGTTACGTCTAAGCACAAAAGTACAAAAATATATTATTAAACAAAAAAAACATTAAGTGTTAAATTCAACGAGTGTACAAATTGTTGCTCGATTACCGTTTATATTATTAGCAATGTTTCAAATTGATTAAAAAATGATTTGTAATGTTTTAAGAAAAGAGTATGTCTTGTTCGGAGTAAAAATGTACTTTTTGTGCCTCCCTGTAACGTCGGAATAGCTTTACGATGGTCCTTTAATTCGTCAAAAAAAGTATAATTTTTACTCCTAATAAAACAATACACTATTGTTCGGAAATAGTCTTAATTCGAGAATGAAATTAATATTATCTAATGTCAAAGTGTAAGGAACTTACAGCTGATCAAAATGTCGCATGTCGGTAGGAATTTGGAAACATAAAAAAAAATACACCGTTTGAAAAAAAATATATAAAACAACATATTTTCTGACAACGATTATAATTTCTCGGGAATGAAGATATAGTCTCTATATCAGAAGAACCGAGTTCTGCACTACACTGCGAGTGATATGTATTCGAACAGCGACTTTTTGTCACGTATACATAAATTTTAAAATTTTAGCTTAGCGATCTAATGGATTCATACGAAATTACTTCAAAAAACATTTAAATTGATGAACAGATATTTTTATATAGTTTTATAACATTTACAATTATTTTTCGATTTATTATCTGTTATATCTGTTATAGCAATCTTTTTTTTATAGTTTTCTAAGACACATTTTTATAACTTTTACAGTTATTTTTTTATTTATTATAAAGTTTCAATAACATTATTTTTTTTATTTAAATTACGATTTAAATCATCAAATCAAATCAAACCAACTCTGTACCAAAATATTCGTAAAAAAATGCCTTTTCTAAATATGCTAATAACCTTTGTTTCGTTTGAAAAAATTGAGTTTTGATTAAAAATACGATTTGGGCATCTTTATGATTGTATAATTTGTATACCAATAATAAACTTTTTAATTATTTCCATTAACTCTAAAAAAACTTTATAATTTAAATATTACCTTCCACTATCGTTGCTTTTATTATTATTGAAATTCATATTTTTGAAATTCTGTCTAATGGTCCTTTTTTTAGACGATTGCTCAGCATCAATATGGATATCGGGACCTGGATCTAGATGAATATCTGGCACACCCGGCTTGACGGATCTTTTTCTCTTGTTTCCAGGGGCATACCGTCCCCCTCCACCTGACTCTGGCTCGTACTCTGGCATATCAAATTCGCCATACATTCGTTTCATTAAGGCTTTATTTTCGTCTATGAACAGCTCTATCCTGTCCCTGAAATTTAAAATAATGGTTTAGTAAATTTGCTACAATAAATGCAAAAAGCTATTATAATATTAAGAAATTGCTTTATAAGGTATAATTAAAATACCATATTAATACTATATGCAGTGACCAAGAATCTCTGAATTCTGAAATAAATAATATTAAAACCGATTTGTTTTAGAATGGTTACTCTGCAAAATAATTAGATAAAATTATATCCAATTGCAGGTCCGACTCATTGGTACGCCAGCCTGAGGAAGATGCTCTCTCTCTCTCTTGACAATTTCATATGTGAAAGGAACATCGGAGAAGATCAGGCGAATGGCTAAGCAATATAAAATTAAAACTATTTTTAAGTCTGGGAGTACTCTACAAAGTGTCCTAACAAAAACAAAACCTGAATCATCAAACTAAGAGAAAGAGTGCATCTACCTGGTACCTTGCGAGTGCGGTGAGCCGTATATTGGAAAGACAAAACGTCCTCTAGATGCACGACTTGACGAAAATAAAAAACACGCAAAGAGGTAAAACAATGAAGTCGGGCATTGCAGATCATGTGTGGTCCAAGCGCACCACAACATAAAATGGTCGGAAGCCCGGGTTGTCCACAAAGAACCCCATTGGAAAAAGCACAAATTAAAGAATTATTCATTTCTAACAATAATAAAACCTTTAGCAATCCAAGTATGAAAATTTCAGCAATATGACAACCACTCATAAAACGCTTTAATGCAGGTGTTCTTAATGGAAAACCTCATGCGTGACTCGTCTCGTCTAAGTCCGTACGTCGCGTACGAACGTGCCGGTATCTGTTCCGAGTCAAAGGATTTTTTTTCATAAATCTCAGTGAAATAAGTAAACCTAGACGTTTCTAAAATAGCTGTTGTTACGATGATATTTCGTTAATTACATCTCGTTTTATGTTATATCGATATACATTTATTCCACAGAATTAATATTTGAATACACGTTTTTTATATTTATAGTAGATATTTACGAACAAAACTTTTCACTTAAACTGCAGGAATATCATTACAATATTTTTATGATTTAATTTCATTATAATGAATTACATAAAATTGTATATGATATGTTTGTTTACGGCCTTAATTGATTAACATAACAATAGTATTGCTTGATGAGTAATACTGGTAACTAGTGATGTGTCGGTATTTGAGTAACGCGATTTTGGAGCGGTATTTTTTTGTAACGTCGTGTTGCGCTCCACAACGAATCAGGAACCTGTTACTGAAGAACGATGATCATAATGACGACAAAATTATAAATTATTTATAATCGCACTTGAAGTTAGCTCGAACCGTAGTAACCGCATAGCGACGTGTTTAGCTCCAGCCGTCGCGATTTCGTCTATCGCCAACAGTAGTATCTGGAACTGGTATGTTCGTAGCGCCGCGCGATCTCGATCGAGACGTGTTCGCTCCAGCCGTCGCGCTCCTAGAGTTTTAGTTCCCTGTCGCGAACAGAAGTAACTGCTGTAACTGCTTATCGACGCTCGACCTCGGCGGCTACGTACTTCGTTCCAGCAGTCGCTGGAGCGCTTCTAGGGTTTCGGTCGCGATTTGGTCGGTTACTATTGGCGTTGGTGCTCCCATCGCTACGTTACTTTCGAAATAGAGATTTTTGGTATGTACCAGGCATGGTATAAAATAGTGCTGTTTGAAAGATGAAACGCAAAAGCAAATAAAATATAATAAAAATATTTTATTTGCTTTTATACATTTATATGAATAAGTTTTATTGTTTATATCTACTTTTAAGGTTAGGTTAGACCAATAAACATTTTTTTTTGACAGTGGTTTGGACATTGTTCTCGATTTTAACACTAAATATATTATATTGTAATACACATAAATATGAGCCGTTCATTTTATTTGAACGAAAATTGATAAAGAAAAAAAAAATAACAAGGAATGTCATCGTTTTTCTAAAAATGAGATAGATTGGCTATACACAATTATAAACTCGATATTTGGAAAATGAGTGGCGGATAAAAGTTATGTACCTTAATCTACAAATATAGATAAGTTAGATATATTTTTAGCGAGGACCGCAACACTTTGGAAGTCGGAACCTCGGTTACAAAATCGCGGTATTTTGTCGCGGTATTTTTCTGGAACGGTCGCTATTGTAACGCGACTCATGTGTAACCGGTATTCCTATCACTACTGGTAACATTATCAATATATCCGCTTGGGAAAATTATGAATTGACCCGATGTCAACAAAAGTATGGTCCACGGACATTATTTAAAAACAATGTTCTTTTATTGTTCTTAAGAGAAATCTGTAAACGATACTTTTATTAGCACCCAGCATGGTTTGTTATATATCCATTCAACTAGTATTTATTATGCAGGGATTTAGACAATTAAAACTGGAAAAACGAAACCAAATTCGTAAACTAAACTTTGCTACAGACTACAGTATAAAAGTTACTTTACCATAACCAGACATAATAAATAATTAGACGATGTTTTTAAATAATTTTGTGTATATTTTGTTCATGAGGCGCAATACCGTGGATTATAAGCCGATAAATGGTAGACCGCTAGTTAGTCACTGTTTTAAAGTTTTGTTACTATATTGTAATTAATAATATTAGACAATGATTAAAACTAAATATATTCTTGTGAAAACGGTTTTATTAAAAGGGCCTTTGCTAAAAACATTAAAATGGTAAGTAACATTCTCGAACTCGTTAGATTTAGACATTTTAAATATATTTTTTTCTTGATTGTTTTTTATTTCTGACTATGGGGATATACTGACTATAATACCCCCTGAAACCTCAAGCAATTTTGTTAATTATGCAAATTTTTTAACTAAAAATAGTACAAAGTAGCAATTTTATTTATTAGATTTCTGTCCAGTTTATTATAATCTACAATATTTTATAATATTAGATACGGATAGAATTAAAACCTAAATGTTTAAACGCTTGTAATCCACCTGGTGTTTATATTTTCAAATTTTGTGAAATACTACAACCGATACCACAATTCCGTTGATTTCCAAATGATTAGATAAATAAATCTTTTTAAAGTAACTCAACAGGTTTGTTACTGGAATTACTACGTTACAATTTTTTTACAATAATAAAATATTTATTTCTTTTATATTTTTCCACTGCAAACTTGTAAACATAACTGCAGTTCGATTTTCTAATTCTTGTTATCTTTGAATAGGATAGAAACTAAAATTTTGTATAGCGGGGTTTGTACAGAGTGTCCTATTTTGGTTGGGAAAGACCTTGTAGTGTAGTCAAGTGTAATACCGTTGATTGATGAAATAAGAAGATGCGCAACCTTATGGGCGATTTCGTGATACAAAACCTGTCCGAGATGTAGCTGGCGTTATTCTCAGCCTATCCCAGAATTCCGAGATTTAGTTTAGCTCCGCGCCGCTGTGCACTGATGTCGTTTACAGAGTAGCGGATAAAGAATACTGTACCGTAGTTCTGCTTTCAGTCGACAGAGTGAGTGGTTGCCGGAGACATTGTTGCCAGAACTACTGATTACTCCGTAGTAGTTTTACGCATTTTGGATACAGTACGTTAATAACACAAATTTTCCTTAACATTTTATCTAAACTTTCCGAAGTCAATTCCGCGCTTAATTTCAACGTTAACACCTTAAAAATTATTTAGAATCATAAAAAACGACCCCTAAAAAGACTCACGGGTTTTAATAACTCGAATGGACTATAGGTATAAAGAAGTCACCCCAATAAAGTCTGTTCAAGGAGTGAGAAAAGATTTCGTGAGATGACATATCAAAATGACGAAAATAAGATTTTCCTGTCAATTAAAATAACGGACACAACTTTAATAGTCATGTACCTATTAGTGATGGGCATTACGAATCACACGACTCAATTTCTCATATTGGAAACTTCTCACCTAAATGAACACAATTGCACATGCACATGTTACGTTTCATAAAAACAAGAATCGTAACTGGCACTACCGGCGATAATTTCATCGGAATATTACTTAAGGGGTCAGAAAAAGAAATATACAGTTCTTTAATTTGTTTTTCAAAACATTGCAAATATAATAGATAATGCATGTAACACAATGATGTTGCTTGTGATTTAATTGGGCTTCGAGTTTACAAATTTATTTAATAATATGATCAATCAGTAATATGATAATCACGATTCTTTGAACGACCGAGTCACATTATGATCCGATTCAATTCTCACGATTCTTTTTTAAGGCTCATCGTTCAAATCTTATGGATCCATGCTGCCGTACTGGCCACGATTCATTGGAACGAACCGTATTGTATGTAATGAATTAACTCTCACGATTCTTAAACGACCTAGTCGCATTATGATCGAATTCAGTTTTACTAAACTTTTTAACGGCTCATCGTTCAAAGTTTATGGATCAGTGCTGGCACGATTCAATTGAACGAACCGTATTGTATGTAATGAATTAACTCTCACGATTCTCTTTGAACGACCGAGTCGCATTATGATCCAATTCAATTTTACGAATCTTTTAACGGCTCATTGTTCACAGTTTATGGATCCGTGCTGTCATGATTGAACTAAACGAATCGTATCGTATTGGCAATGAATTAATTCTCACGACTCTTTGTGATCCGATTCAATAATTCTTATAGCTCTTTTTTACAACTCGTTCGTTCAAATGCAACAAAACAGTAATACAACACCGTCCTGGCCACGATTCAATTGAACGAACCGTATTCTATATACTGAATCGAATCTTACGATTCATTTTTAATACTTGTTCAAATGAACGACTCGTTCAATCTTTGCCGACCTCTAGTACCTATTCTCAATTCTTTTATTCTTAATTCTAAAAGATCTAAGTAAAATTCAACTAATCGTTTAACTATATTTTAAGCTTATATCATAATCCTTTCAAATTTTACACGATCGCCTATCTCGTTCTGTTGCACCCTGTACAGGGTGGTCGAAATTGGTCTGTTTTAACAGAGAAAACCTATTTCCTGACTAGAT